CTATGAATGTCTTTATGAGTTAAATGTGTTTCTTGTATACAGCATATTGTTGGATTTTGTTTCCTAATCCACTGTGCCAGTCTATTTTTCTTAATTGGTGAATTGAATCCATGTACATTGATGTTTAGAATTGAGATGCATTGACTTACAATTGACATGTTATTTAGCTGTTGTTGTTTACTCCTTTTTCTCCTGTGTTTAATTACTTGCCCTATTTAGTTGGTTGCTTCTGATCATTTGTGGTGCTCAGATCATTTTGGTCCCTCTCTAGAACATATTTCAGTACCCTGTGTAGGGTTGGCTTTGTCATCACGAAATTCTTTAGCTGTTCTTTGTCATTAAAGTATTTCACTTCTCCATGAAACTTGAGAGTTTTGCAAGGTATAGTAGTCTGGACTGGAATTTGTTTTCATAGAGAACTTGAAGTACTCTGCTCCATGCTCTTCTTGCCTTCATGGTTTGTGAAAAGAAGTTGGCCTTAATTCTGATAGGTTTTCCTTTGAATGTGATCTGCTTCTTTACTCTAGCAGCTTTCAGTATATTATTCTTGTGCTGAATTTCTGGGATCTTGACTATTATATATCTCGGTGTGTTTTTCATTGGGTTGAGGTTCTTTGGAGTTCTATATGCTTCAGTTACGTGAATGTCAGATTGTTTCCTCATATTTGGGAAGTTTTCTGCTATTCTGCGTATATTTTTTAATGTCATTTTTATTTACGCTTTCTTTCTCATTGATACCTATTAATCTCACATTGTCCATCTTTGCACCATCTTGCAGGTGATGGATTATTCTTTCCTGCATCCTAATAGTTTTTAAGAGATGCTTTCTTACCTTTTCACTAACTGCACCAGCGTCTTCAAGATCTGAAACTCTGTCTTTACTTTCACTTAAACAGTTTTGCAAGCTTGTGAATGAGATTGTAATTTCCTCTATATCTCTTTGACTCTGCTTCATGCGATCTATTTCTTTCCTGTATTGCTCATTCAAGGAATCCGTCATTTTTCTAATTTCCTCTATTTTTTTTTTTATCAATGTCCTCTTTAGAAATTCTTATAAATTCTTTTACTGCAGTGTTTTTTCAGATTGGGTTTCCTCCCTATGTTTCTTTACTTCAGATGCTATGAGTTCTGAGAATTCTTTTTTCATTTAAGAAAAGAATTCTACTCTGTGTTCCTTTATAACTTTCCGCTGTTGCTTATTTACTATGGACGCTATTAATTTGCACATTTTAGCTGAGCTAGTAGAAAAGAATTCTTCTCTGAGTTCCTCTATGACTTTCTGCTGTTGCTTATTTACTACCGACGCTATTAATTCATACATTTGAGCTGAGCTAGTGTCCTCTGCAGTTGTTCTGGGTGAGCATTGGGTTTCCTCCATATGTTTCTGCATTTGATTCTTTATTGCAGATGTTATTAATTCAGGGATTTATTTTTTCATTTCCAATCTGAGTTCCTCTATACCTTTCTGCAGCTGTTTCTTTCAGAATCTGTTGATTCATTGCTTTCAGCTGTGTGATTCCCACTTTGTTCTGTGTTAGTGTCCTCTGCTCTTGTTATGGGTGGGCTTGGGTTCTGAGATTGCATTTTGCTCCTTCTCGTTTGCATTTTGTATAGCACTGTCTTCTGACCTTTGTTGTAGATCTTTGTTGCAGTTATAACCTTAGCACCTACTGAAGTTCAGGTGTAGATCTACAAAATTTGGATTTATCCAGCTGTGCCTGGCTTGGGTCTGGCTGCTGTGCTCAGCTCCTTCCTTCTGCTGCCCTTGGGGGTGAACCTGTTGTGCCCCTGTGGCAAGATGTTCTGCTCCTGGACTAGTTGGGTGCTTCTGTCCCCTGCACTCTCTGCTGGGATTGAAGCTGCAGGGTTTCATTCCAGGCCTGTATGCCAGGCCTGAGCTGAGTGTGGAGGGGACAAGGTGGAGTAGGGGGAGACGCAGCTCTCCCACACACTCACTGGGCCTCGAGTAGGAATGGATCTGGGTGTTCCCAGAACACGACAGAAATTCCTACTCTGTGCGTGGGGTGTGTTGTGGGGTAGTAACTGTGCGTGGGGTGTGTTGTGGGGTAGTAAGAGGTGATGGGGGAGTCCCAAGAGGGTGTAAGAGGGTGTCACCCATGTTGCACCTGGGCTGCGACCAGTAGGTCATGCCAGCACAGGATAGCTGGAAGCTCTCCCACACACTCACTGGGACTGGGCTAGGACTGAGTCTGGGGGTTCCTGGAATGTGGCAAAAATTCCTACTCAGTGAACGGGGTAGGGGAGGTGTTGTGGAGTGGTGGGGGGCGTCCCAAGGGGGTGGAAGAGGGTCTCACCCACTCTGTGCCTGGGCTGGGACCAGTAGGTCCCACCGGTGCAGGGTAGCCAGAAGCTCTCCCACACACTCACTGGGCCTGTGTTAGGACTGGGTCTGGGGGTTCCCAGAAGGTGGCAGAAATTCCTATTTGGCAGGTGGGTATGGGAGGTACTGCAGACTGGTGGGGGGTGTTCCAAGGGGGTGGAAGAGGGTCTCACCCACGCTGTGTCTGGGCTGGAACCAGTAGGTCCCGTTGGCACAGGGCAGCCATAAGCTCTCCCACACACTCACTGGACCTGGACTAGGACTGGGCTCTTGAGATAATTTAAGAACTGCAAACATTTCCAAAATTAAGTTATTAATTCTGTCTACTCAATTTCCTCTATAATCATATGTCAATAATATTATTCTGTAAAAAAAAAAAAAGACACTCTTGTTAGCTTTATACTTACCCAGTGGTCCATACCTATTTATTCCTTAAAGTGTCCTCATCTTACAGTTTATTGGGGGGGGGATGGAAATGCACTTGCAAGTTAAAACACTAAAGATTGAAAATACCACCACCACCACCACCACCACCAATAAAAATGAACAATTCAGATCAGTTCAGATTTTGAGCAAACCATCTAGAACTTAGCATAACATTTGTAGTCTGTTTTCTTTGGTTTGGCCTGCTGAGCCCACCCTGAGGGATGGCCAGGCATGTGGTGCCAAGGATCAAACCATGGTCCTCTGCACCCACCTAAGCTTGCCTAAGCAGGTGCTTTGGACTGCTGAGCTGTCTTGCCGGCCCCCAAATTTATATTCTTCTGACAAATACTGAAAATCTGCAAAATATGGTGTAAAGTGACTGTTATACAGCTCTTTTATAAAATCAAACTTGTACTACAAAAGTACTATTTGGGCTTCCGGCGGCGCAGTAGAAGAAGAAATTCTTTAAGACCAAGAAAAAGTGATGGAAAAATCAGGAATGGATCCTGTTAACTGTATGACGTCTGATGCAGCTGTAGAAATTGAAAATCAAAGTGATAGCTGTTCATCGGGTAGCAGCTTATTTAAAACACAATGTGCACCTTCCTTACCTAAACGGACTCAAAGAAAACCTGTGAGGAAATTGGTTCATATACCTGAGAATATTCAAACAGATTCATCCAGTGACTCATCCATAGAACCAAGACCACTGACTTTGAAGGCTATTTTTGAAAGATTCAAGAAAAAGAAGAAACGTAAGAAGAGGAAATATAAGCCAAAATTAACACCAAGAGGAAGACCAAAAGGAAAGAAAAACACTAGAAGATCAAACATAGATAAAAAACAAATCAAAGAAAAAGGACCTACGTTTCCAATTTTACAATCTGAGGATGGAAGGAAACCATTACCTTGGAGGAAGATTTTAAGTTTTGAGCAGGCTGTTGCAAGAGGATTTTTTAACTATATTGAAAAACTGAAGTACGAATACCACCTTAAGGAATCATTGAAACAAATGAATGTTGGTGAAGATTTAGAAAAAGACGACCTTGATAGTCGTAGATACAAATACTTGGATGATGATGGCTCCATTTCTCCTATTGAAGAGTCAGGAGCAGAAGATGAGACAACACATCTTGAACATGATGCATGTGATATCAAATTAGTAGTGGTGGTACGTGAAGATACCTTTTATTCTTACAGGATTCTGTTTGAACATGGGCCTGGAGTTGAAAGATAATTAATTGCATATCCTAGCGGCCTGTACTACTATGAATAGATTAGGAGATGAATGAACTTAATGCATGTTTAGAGAAGGTGTCAGACTAAGGCAGATCCATCTACCATAAATGCTCCAAAAATGTATTGCTGGACGAAATTGGATATAAGACCACAGTTGTCACTGTCCATAATTCAAGTGGAGATAGAAGAATTGTGGCAGGGCAGATGGGATGGCTGAAGTAAGCTTCAGTTCTTTTGTAAAGGCCTCCTCTGAAGACAGCCTCATTAAAATGGCCCCTAATTAAATCAATATGAAATTTCTTTAAAATAAAATTCACTTAATTTAAAAAAAAAAAGTACTATTTGGTTACTGTTATATATAATCTATTTCATTAAAAGAGCTGTTCCCTAAAAGCACCTATTAAAGATGATATCTTCCAATAATGTGATAACTACTGTGTTTGGTTTGGTTACATTTGGCATAAGGTATGGCATAACATGATGATTTGCAAAGCTGTGACATTATCTGGAGTTTCCTGTGGATCTGTTTCAGGGTCTGTAAGGGACATGCATGTTTACTACAGCTCGGGGAGTGAAGGTATTTGTGCTGGCACTCTGTGATCTGGACAGGCGAAGGTGTTCCGTGTGACACTCCTGCTGGCCCGACCTCAGGCTGTGCCTTCTGTTTGCACCGATGACCACCTCTCTGTCCCTTGTGAGCTTTTCCTGGCATTTCCCAGGTGTGAATGAACTCTAACTCTGCTCTGCAGGGGCCCCTCTGCCACTCAGGACACCAGCAAGCCTGCTGTGGACCCCGATGTTGAAAAAGAGCAAAGGAGGGTGTTGGAAGGGAGGACCGGTGGAGACATCCTGGTGCTGCACAAGCTGAGTAAGAGTTACAGAAGCTTCTGTGGGAGGACCACTGCGGTGCAAGACATCAGTCTGGGGATTCCCAGAGGAGAGGTAGGGAAGCTTCTGCTTCCACTGTTTTCTGTTGTGCATCTGTATCCCTCTAGTTGTCGATTGAGTGTGCTTGGAATAGCTGCAACCACAGCCTTCAAATTTGAGGACTTCCTAGTCACAGAAGCATATCTGCTAAGAGGGTCTGTGCACTTCTTCCACTGTGTAACCTTTACTGATGGGTTGTATCCCTTTTTTAAAATGTAATGTTTAAAATTTCTTGTAATTGAGGAGTTTTAGGAATGGTTTGAGCCATAGGATGACTTTTTATGGAGCGAAACCATTGCACAAGTCCAGACAATTAAGGAAACCACTGCTTGGGCCTCAGTCTTCTGTGTCTAGCCACGTCCACCCAGCCAAACACTGCTGTGGATGGAAGGTAAATCAGAACCCCAGCAGTAGCAGGGAACATTTTCCCATCAGCATGGCATTAATTCTCGTAGAAATCTTTAATCAGAACTGACAGAAGCCATATAAATTGTTCCTGATTTGTACTTATGCATAAAGGGAAATCAATTCTGGAAATGATTACCTTTAATTAACTGTTAAAAATAAAGGAGCACCTAGTGTGCTTATTGTTCCACTCTCCCGAGAAATCCAAAGTGGGTTATCCTGTCATCTGGGTGGCACAGAGAGGGCCTCTGGGGTCACGAGAAGCCAAGAGACCAACCCGGAGAAACCCAGAGGTATCTTTCTGCTCAGGACTATAATATCTGGCAAAATACAGCAGAAGTGTTAGAGATATGGTTTTATATTTATTGCTTCTGCTTTAAGACTAGCTCTGCAGTCTAACATCTTACTGATTTTCTTACCCTTTCATGAAAATCTAATAAACCCAATTTTGCAACTACTCCTGCCGTGGCTTACACCAGGTAAGGGAAGATAACCTGCACAGCTCCACAAGAATGACTTGCATATGTGATTGAGTCCACATGCTGTGGAGTTTGGGTCTATGTTGGCTTTTATTTCTGGAACAAAATAATGGAGATGACAAACTTTCAGAGAAGAAAGGTTTCCTTTGGCTTACAGCTTTGGTGGTTTCAGTCCCTGACCCTCTGGTCCCTTGTCCTGAGGCCCTGTGTCACATATATCTTGGGAGAAGCCTATCTGCTTGATGACTGGGTGCTAAAAGGAGGAATAGCAAGGGTGAGGTCACAGCCTCTCCTCCGAGGTCCCAGCCCCATGACCCGAGTCCTCCCCAAGGCCCAACCTCCCAGTAGTGCCTGAGCTGAGAATCAGCTCCTCAATGCATGGACCTTATGGGGCGTTCGTGATCCACAGCACAGCAGGTCCATTCTGTTTGCTTTTGTGAGGGGCACAGTTTATGACCCAGATGGAAAGTGTTTCACACAAACCTGCAGAAAATATAAAGGTGACTACAGCGTGCCCCTCTGCCACCAGCAAAGAGTCACTGGGTAGGAAACAGGCTCATAAACACACGTGATGTTATCCAAGAACGTGAGCCTTGTGCTAAGGCAGAGCACGGAGGAAGGTGCACTGGTGCTGTCACTGTCAGTGCTTTCTGTCTTCGAGGGGGCAGGAGATGGAGGACAGGTCCATGGGTGGGGCTGTGATGGAGCTGAGGCTTGGCCCATGGGGGCGCCTTGGGTGCCCAGGTGGCCATTGTTGTCTGAGAGCAGGGACCTGGTGTGGGCCTTGCAGGAGATGGACTCAGAGTTCAGAGTGGGAACGATGGGGAATTGGGAGTCACCGTCATCCAAGCAGATGGCAGTTCAGTGATATGCTGGCATCTAAATGTATGTAATAAGGTCGTTTGAGAGGTAGGTATGACCTGGTGACAAAAGGCATCAAGAAACAGTCACTTTCCAAGGTACAAGGATCCAAAAAGCCAGTTTCTGTTGGCAGAAGCAGCCCCAAGGTGAATCTCAGGGAAGCTTCTGTGCTCAGGGCAGGCTGGGTAGACCTTGGCCTTGGTAAGGGACTACAGGGGGCACTTTTCATCTGACGGACAGTGCGGGATGGGCTCAAGAAGTGAACCCCTAGGTTGGCTTCTCACTCTCAGGATTCACCAAGGTCCGAGTCAGGAATCAACTAGTAATCTCTATAATGGGAAAGGAAGGTACCCAGCTGGGTATGTGCACACCCTCCCAATGTGTACTTATGCAAGGTGTGACAGAACTGTGTGGTCGTCTCAGTTACTCTTGTCTCGTTGCTGGGACAAATGCCTGACACTCAAAATGAAGGAAAGAAAGGTTTAGTTAGCTCTCAGTTAGTGGAGGTTTCAGTCCATACTCAGCTGGCTGCAAGGCAGAGCGGCACATGGCAGGAAGCAACCTTTCATGATGGCAGCAAAGAGCAGAGAGCCCAGGGGGAATAACAGCAACAATGGCAACGGAGAGGAAGTCTGTCTTCCCTAAGTTGCATTCAAGCTATCCACCCCAGGCTGGGAGTAGTATTCACACTCATAATCCCAGCAGCACTCACACCCACAATCCCAGTAGATCATGAGTTAATCTCAAACTCTAGAAGTTCCCATCCCATGGCTGCATGAGGCTTTGGGGGAACAATTAGACACAAACTATGACAATGAAGAATGTTTACATTTAAAAAATATTATTATAGTAAAGGCAACATTGCCACGAATTCCCTCAAATCTTCTTCCTCACTTTGAACACATTCACCCCACTGTTCTTGCCACTTTCTGAAGCAGCTCTGGAAGTCTGCTTTCCTCAGTTTCTTTCCATGGCTGCCTTGGTACCCTAAATCGATTTAAAATGTTTCTAGCAACTTTCATTCCACAAAACCATGGGCTTGCCCTCATGTACCTCATCCACTGGACCTGGCTGGGCGCAGCTGCTGGCTGTTCCCCAAAGGAAGAGTAGGAGACGTTTTATGACAATGCAAACCCATGAGGCAGCCAGGACTGTGCAACTGCAGGCCTTCAGGACGCAGGACATCCGGCATGGCTTTGGGGAGCAGTGGGGCTGCAGGGAGTGGTGGGGCTGCGGGGAGCGGTGGGGCTGTGGGGAGTGGTGGGGTATATTGTGAGAGGAATTAATGGCAAATTTAAAAATGTAATACATTTAAAATTGAATCCCATCTCATACACAGAAAGTATAGTTAGAGAATGGAAGATGGGGTATTTTAACAAGTAGAAAAATGAATGACTTTAAAACATAGAAGAATGAACCCTGAAAGGTATTAATGACACTGCTAGTACAGTGGTCCACCTTGCAAAGATTGATGCCTCTGCCTAATTTGAGAAGGTTGGCATTCGCTTCCCATGTTCTTGACTTTTTCATACATGTACTGGTTTAAGAAATGATGATGGGATTTTTATTCCACACAAGTGCCAGGATGATTTTGAAAGTACTCTGAAATCCACAAAGTGCTGTGTACAATAAAGTGATCTTAAAAGTGCGAAATGTCACACAGCAGGGGCACTAGCTGGGACCCGGAGCTCTAGCCCAGCCTCTCCGCATTCGCATTCGCGGTCTCTGCTCACCGTGTTATTTCGTTGCATTTTTTCTGCAGTGCTTTGGGCTCCTGGGCGTGAACGGGGCTGGGAAGAGCACGACCTTCAAGATGCTGAACGGTGACATCTCCCCCAGCTCTGGCCATGCTTTCCTAAGGACATCCACAGGGTAAGGTCCAGGTGGAGTCGTTCTCAACACCTTGTGTGCTCATCGCTCAGCTCAGGCCATCCTGTGTGGTAAAATCTGCAGCACTGTCCTCCTCCCAGTTTCCCTTGCAATTGCCACTTCCGCAGCAACTTTTCGACTGGGAAAAGTTTCCCAGTATGCATGAGTGGGGTAAAGGGACAGGATGTCTCAGCATACGTACGAGGCACAGGGGTGCAATCTGAGCAAGCAGGAAACAGTCAAGGGCTGGGTCTTCCTGCTTCTCCTTTGGATAAAGCTTCCCGTGCCCCTACTGCTGAGTGCAGTCACAAAGGATCCTCTGGTTTGCTCTTGGAGCTAGTGGTCCCCTGCTTTCCGGTAGGCGCAACTCTGTGGGGCTCAGAGCAGCACGCATGTTCAGGGCTCAGGTGGCAGTGTGTGCAGGGGCGGGAAGACATTTGCTGCCTTTGCTCTACACATGTGTGTGTTCTGCACACCCAGCAGATTTGTAGAGGCCCTGTGAGCAACATGCACAACCACACACACACACACACAGACACAGAGAGAGAGAGAGAGAGAGACACACACACACACACACACACACACGCACACACAGTTATTCCTGCATGCCACTCTTGCACTAGCTCTTTCCCTCCTGTGACCCACAGCACAGGATTCCGTCTACACCTTGAGAGTTTTCTCCTGGAGAAGGGGGCCTTGGCCTTTCTTCCTGCAGAGAGTGGCCCTCGGGTTGCTTTCTGTTTCCCTTGTGCCTCGCCAGCTGCCATGAATGAATGAGCGCCCTTCTTGGAGATGAGGCTGCAAGCTCTGTGCCTCTCTGTGGCTGGATTCGCTACCCCGCTCTTGTCGCATACTTCCCTCTGGGCCGCCTGACTCAGTGTCTGTGTAGCTCACACCTTTCACTTCACCGCTACCTTCTAACGTCTCTTTCTCCGCAGCCCTGTGTCTCATCCTTTTACCCACTCCGATTTTCACGTGGTGAGAAAAGCATGGAGTTTTAAAATTTTCTACTACATCAAAACCTTGGTACCCATTTCAAATTGTCTTTGAAGTTGCATGATGAAGCTGTGCGTCTTCATGTACTCTTTCTGAAGGTCACTACCATGACTAGCTACAACTTCTCAGGACTTTATTTGATTTCAGAGTCTGTTTACTAGGAACAAAAGAATTGTTTTTATTTTTTATTTTTATTTTTATTTTTTTTGGCAGAACCGGGGATTGAACTCAGACCCTTGTGTTTGCCAGTCAAGCTCTTATCCTACTGAGCCATCTCTCCGGCCCCAGAGAATTGTTTTTAAAGAGACTTGGAGAATATTGCCCTAGATTTATGTTTTTATGTATGAGTTAAAATACAGTAACAAAAACCCAGTTCAGAAATATCATAATCACCCAGAGATTAGGCAGGTCTTTGAATCACACACATTTATGGTGTCTTTGATGTGTCAGGCATCAGGCAGACCCAGTGTTTTCCTCAGTCCTCCAACCCATTGTCAATATTTGGATGGTCCCTGCAGAGCTAATTTAAATATGCACGCGTGTCTGCTTGCTTACCTCTGACTGGCTCAGTTGCCTGGGTGCGTGTGTGCGTGTGTACATGGAGGTGTTTGTGTAGAGAGAGACATGCACATTTCAGTTATAGATAGAAATGATAAGAATTGCTTTGGGTATTTCACTTATGTTCAGTATTCCAGAAGGAATTTTATAATCCTCCTCTGTAAGTGAGATTTAAGTTTCAATCTTTTGTGGTGTTGGGTGTGACAGTTCTTGGCCCTCGGCTGGGCACTGTGCTTTGCCCCCATTTCTGTTTCCTTTGTGCCCACTGCCACCCTGGTTCGCTGGTCTTTCATTCCCCAGTGATGCCCTTTTGTTTCTCCTTGACTTCCACATTTTCTCTCTCTCTCTCTCTCTCTCTCTCTCTCTCTCTCTCTCTCTCTTTGTGGTATTAGGGATTGAACTCAGGACTCTGCACTTGCCAGGCAAGTGCTTACTCTACTGAGCTACCTCCCCGGCCCCTCCATGTTCTCATGGGACCTGATCTTTTGCTTGTTTTATGTGATTTAAATATTTCACTCAGAGGAGCCTTTTATTTTACCCTTGCTTTAAAGATTTGCTTATATAGAAATTCTCCTCTTTTGATTTATTGCTCTTTCAAACTTAAGAATTTTTTCTCTTTCTAAGGTAATAAAACTGTTCTCTGTATTTTCTTTTCCAAAGATTTGTGCTTTTTTGTATTCATTAGGTTAATGTATATGGAGCTTCTATTTGAGACTGTTGTATTGTAGAGCTATTGTTCTTTCCTGTCCAAATGACATCTATTTTTTTTTCTTTTTGGGTTTTTAGTTCTGTTTTCTTGAGGCAGCGTCTCACTGTGTAGGTCAGGCTGCCTTGAACTCACCACATAGCCCTGGCCTTGGATTTGCAACAATCCTCCTGGTGCTGGGATTGAGGGCATATTCCACCATGCTTGGCTAAAGTTTTTTCAAAACAAGGCATCCTTTTTTTTTTTTTTTTTTTTTTTTTTTGTATGGGGAATTGAACTCAGGACCTTGTACCCCCTTGGCAAGCCTTGTGCTGCTAAGCTATGTCCCCTGCCTGAAACAAGGCATCTCTATCCACTCTTTATTATTATTCATTTATTTATTTGGTACAGGATCTCACTATGCAGCTTCGGCTTGTACTGATCCTCCTGCCTCAGCCTCCCCAGTGCTGGGATTAGAAGTGTGCACCACTACGCCTGCTTTTGGTGGCCAGCACAGCACAGGGCTGGCATCATATTTGGTACTGGGGATCAAATCTGGACCCTTTTGTGTGCCAGGCAGGTGCTCAGCCTGCTGAGCTATCTCCCCAGCCTCTGTGCACTATTTAGCAGCAGCACATCTTCTAGACACCAGGTCCTCCTACGTGCTGGGTGTTTGGCCTGAATTCTTCATGCTTCATGACGCATCCCAGTGTCATGGAGGCAGAGACTCTTTCTGACCCCCTCTGTTCTTATGTGGGTTCTTTGGCTAAATGTAAGAACCAAATCAACACAAGACAGATCAATACAAGAAAAGCACACACGTTTTATTAATCTTATGTATACATGAGGCTTTTCAGAAAGGTGTAAGTTCTGGAGGAATCGCCAAGAAAACGCTTCTGTACTCTTTAGATCGAAAGTGGTAATTTTATGAACAATGAAGGGATAGAGGGCCTCTGTCCGAGGGTGGGAATTTCTAGGGATGTCCCTAGGAGCACAGGCAGGTGTGCATCCCAGTGGACGAGAAGTGTCCCAGACATGGACTTACTTGTTCGGGTCAGTTGTGGGCCGCAGCTTCTCGTCTGTGGTGTTAAAGTCCCCTTCTTGCCTGCACACAGGGAAGGCATCTTGTGGCTTGCTACATGCAAGGAAAGGCAGTCCGCAGGGCCTGTTGTGCAGATGCAGTTCTTTGCCGGAGTTCAACTTGAAGTAACCAGGGTATCCGTGCTGCATATTTTGGGACAATGCGTCGTTAACTCCTGCAGAGTGCGTTGCTGAGCTGTCTTCCTGTTCAATTTTACCATTGCTTAGGATATTTTGGGCACTTTGTTAGTACATATTATTTTAGCAATCATTTCATCAGGTGACATAAAAAGTAATGATTTAAAAAAATTAATGATTTTTTTTCTTTTTGAACAAAACCAGAACTCTGACTGTGGTTGCATGATTGATACTACAATTCAACAAATATAACCTCTGTGATTTTTTTTTCTTTGTCCTTGGTGATTGGTTAGATGGGCACTGATTTGGAGACTTTAAGAGGCATCACTTAACTATTAAGTTTTTTTTCATAAAATCATACTTTGTCATTTTATCTATCCAGTTGCATATGACTTCAACAGGAGGATCTGTCCCTCTGTCTGTCCGTCTGCCCATCCACCCATCCATCCATCTAACTTCCTTCTATGAGATGTTCTTGTGGCCCGGGATTTTTCTACCTATGTTGCTAGTGAGTTTATGTGCTTTTGACCTTGCTCTTTACTCCCTACCCCTGAGATGTCACTGTCAGTCTTAGTGACATCTTTGACTTTTCATTTGCTGGATCTCCAGCATAGAATTGGGCTTCTTTGGGGCCCTGGTGTCCCCATGTCACAGTTCTATGTGGAATACCATTTCCTTTCTGTCTCTGGTAGCTGCGTCCTGTCGCTATCCCTGCTAATCCGGATTGGATAATAAGCAGCTTTTGACTAGCACTGGTCATCTTTTCTTTTCTCAGCCTCTTTTTATGAAACATGGGGCTATGCCCTGACTCTGCCCTCAGGTAATCAAAGCTGAATACTCTTTCAGTGCACCTGTTCCACACTGCAATTACGTAGGGCTCTTGGTTCCCACTTGTGTCAGCTGTCTGCAGGCAAAGAATTTACTTACACTTTTGTAGACCCTACTGCCAATCCCCAACAATTCTGGCATCAGGGATTAGTTTCATGGAAGATAGTTTTTCTACAGCCTGCAAGGGGAGGCTTGGAGGTGATTCAAGGGCTATGCATTCACTGTACACTTTATTTCCATTGCTGTTACACTATAAATATAATGAAATAATTATATATCTAACCATAATGAGGAGCTACTCATTTAATGGCAGGCTTTTGCTCTGAGCCTGCAAGCGTTAACTTATTAGGGTCTCCCTACAGTCAAGCCTCTCTGCTTATGCTAATTGGCATTTGCAGTCACCTCCTGGTGCTGACATCACTGCCTCAGCTCTACCTCATAAATCCCTTGCATGCACAGTTCTCAGTAGAGTTCATGTTCCTATGAGAATCTAATGTCACTGCGATCTGGCAAAAGATAGGGCCCAGGCAGTGAGTGACACGGGTGATGGAGAGCAGCTGCACATGCAGGGGAGGCTTGGATCGCCAGCCTGGCACTCACCACCTGCCCTGCAGTCTGGCTTCCATCAGGACAGACACACGGACTCCTCCATGGCTCAGAGCTTGGGGATCCTTGGTTGTGTGAATAGATGAGAATGTTCAGAAGTAAGTTTTTTAAA